GCATTTTTTTAAAAATTAATTTGTGGGAATAATCAAATATCATTTATGTACATATTGATATTAGTTTAAAAACTGATGATTAGTTGAACCTTACCAATTAATATATTAGATTTTAATGTTTATACTATCAGATGTGGCCAAATATTAATTTTTAAAATAATTAAATATCAAAAATCATTACAGAATTGGCAACAATCCTTTGTAGTAATCTACTTGACTCAATTTTGAACCGTCTATGAGTTGATGAAACAATTAAATAGAGTTGATGAATTTGAATGCAGTATAATTATTGAATCTAAAGTAATATTAAAAGATAGAAAATATTACATATTTAAATAAGAAAATTTATTAGAAAATAAAGTCCAAAAATTTAAGTTTAGCTTAAACATGCTCACACGATGAAGAAAATTGCAATCAAGATTATCCTCCACAAACATGACAACCAAAGGAAAACAATAAGATTTGTGAAGTTGAAGGTGCCATTTTCCTCTTAGCGAGAATCCTTGGTAGCGTATCTTTTTGTGTCCGACTCGACTCAAAATAAATATGGCCACGATGAATTGGGATAAAGATTGGCATGCTTCAAAGACAATATGCCCCCGTCTCTGCCTCCACCTCTACATCCGACTCTTTTGTCGCATTTAATGTCCATCAATGCACTACACCAAAAAGGGCTATTGCAACGGTCAAAAAACGTTGCAAAAAGTCATTTGCAGCGTTTGAGCGTATGTTGCGAAACTTGATGTTGCTGTTGAGGTAAGAGCTTTTGCAACTATCTATTGCAGCGTTTAACAAACGTTGCAATCTAACAAATGTTGCAATGGCTTGTCGTTGCAATTTATTGCAACGTTGGAAAGATGTTGCAGTAGCCTATCTATTGCAACGTTTGCCAAATGTTGCAACGCATAGGCTATTGCAACGTTTAACAAATGTTGCAATAGATAATTCACATTTTTTTTATATATGTTTAACACACTACTAAAAATTCTGTTCGTTGACCAAATAAGTCATTCAAAACTAACAAACATGTACCACCAAAATAATAAACTAACAAATATGTACTTATTAAATTTGTAAAATATTCAACGCATAATCTTTTCCAAAATAAAATTAAGAGACTCCAAACACGTTCTACCAAAATGTAATTAGGAAACTACAAAAACCGAAGCTTAAATTTGAAACCATTGCATGTTACTTGATCAATACCATTGCCACTGGAACAATTTGTGTTCAACGAACCTTGCATCATTTGAGACTTGAAAAAGAAACTTCTTGTTGTTGGAGTAAGATCGGCCTGCAATCAATGAGTCCCATAGGAGTGTTTTTAGCCAACAACCACTGAATAATAAATAAACATTTAAATATGTATACAAAAGGAGAGAATCTTTAGTGGATGGTGCATCCGCCTAATACCGAGACGCCACCTCCGTGGGTGACCAACACACCTCGTGGGCGTTTGGGGAGCCACC